GAGACGATGGTCAAAAACAATTTATTCAATTTCAGTATGTATTTTCCATTTATTACTACTGCAACTTGCCATGAATTCAGAGACAACAAGACTACCGAACCCGGAAGGGTTCAAGCAACAGTTTTCTATCTCAATATGTTGAGCCGTCGGTCGAGTAGACCAAGCTTTGAATGTTTGCTGCGGGTTTAAATGGCGAGCCTTCGTAAGTATCGGATTCTTAGTTTTGCTTGACAGTTACATACTGGCGAATAAATGCTCCTGGTGTCAGGATTTTCGATTCTTTCTTAATCCGTCGTCTGTAACACATGTCTTATCAGCGATACCGTTGCAATTCAGAATATGCTGATGTGCAACACCCATTGTGATCTGTATACAATATGGATTTGGCTTTGTTGACGTACAAAGGGGCACAAAATTTACACGTTCGGAATGCCAAATTCCTACCTATTGCCAATTATCTGGCGCTGATCGGCGTCAGCTGCGTTGTATCCTCGTCATGCATGAAGCGAAACCGACCGTTGGAAGCTTAATCTTGATCATTGCAGATAACCTCGATCTGAGCCGATCAGCTTTAAGCTAAAGAATCAATCTTCACCATGCCTAGCGATGCAAGAATTTCTCCTATAATCTCCAGACTATTGCGGAAAAGGAAATGAAAAACGAGAGTTCTAATCGCTGGAATGTCGATCTTCCTACACTTTAATGGTGGGGCCAGTTGTATCGCCCTTCTTTTCATGAAGTTATTGACGTGGCGCTGATCCTGAATGCCATCAGCAAGGTGCGTCATATTTTTTAGGACTGCAACAATATGGCAAGCATATTGAGTAGTCTCCCGTTTACTTCCAGTGCAGTGGTACTCATTTATCAACCTTGAAACTAAGAAATGCGAGTGATCTGACCGTGACTTAAATTTGGCACCTCTTGCTCCAAAGTTCTACCTACTGAGCAACCCGGAGTCTGTATGAAGTATGAGTTATCAGTGCTTATGTGCAGCACTGAATCGTCCCTGACGGATGGGACTTTGTCTCCCGTCTCTCAGGTGTAAAAGAAATCAACTCTGCACAAGGGGCGAATATGAACACTGCTAAAGTAAGAACTGGTTTTACCCGCTGAAATGAATTCATGTTTGAATGACTTCCTGCATGTTTAGCGGTGCAAACTGGTCGACATATTAACCCTATCCTCTTATCAAACGTTGCTACTAATTCTTGTTGTTACTGTTCATGACTGCTGTCCCTTGTTATATTGTTCTGTTTCTGTAAGATCTGATAATGTACGTTAGAGTTTTTGACTTACTGGTTTATATCTACCGAGGTTGTAATCAGCTGGTGAATTGTACCATCGTGCTCTTTGTTCTTATTTTGTGTTTTTGTAAAGGTCGAAGATCTGGAATGTCACAGGTACGAAGATTATTCCGAGAACAGTCGTACAACGGACAGTGAGAAGTCTCCCACACTGGCCTGCAGCCCTCCAGGAAAAACTGCCGAATTTGACCCGCTGCAGAACGCTGTATTTGAAGGTAATTGACAACTGAAATACTCCGGTTTCTGTTTAATGCCAGATCATTAGAACATATCAAGTTCTTCGAAAAGTGTCGCAGCTGTTCCTGGAATGTAGTTGGAACTGGAAGTTTCTGAAGCTGTGTACAACTTTTTCTTGAGCACTTGAAAGATAATATGATCAGACAGATGTTGGTTATTATCATGATTATACTAATGACTGTGATCACGGTGGTAACAGTGATTACGGCAACTTATATGTCATATTTGATGCTAAATGAATCATGCATATGATTGTTAGCGGTAAAACGAAAATATGCATTCTTTACGATCAAACTTTTAGCTCCTGTTCCGTGGCATGCCCTTTTACCATTCATCAGGTCTCCGGCTGTGAATGATGCCCGACAGAACGTCAGCGGTAAGTTACGGTTTCAAAGTTAGGTTTTAGGGTACGACCGGTGACGAAATATCCTTTTAGACGAGGAAGACGATGACGTTTTTGAGTCAGTGCCGGAGGAGGAGGCGTTCGCGAAAGCCATCGCCGAAACTTCGCAAATTTCGGGTAAACGTAGGGCTCAAAGCCTCGGCGCTATGCCGAAGGATGTCGTTGACTCTAAAAGCCCCAAGAAGGTAAGCGCTTCAAGAGGCACTTGTGTAGATGTTTGACGTGAATGACGTCCTGTCGATGACAGGTACGAAACAAAAACCACATACGGCGCCCGATGAACGCTTTCATGATCTTTTCCAAGAGGCATCGTCCCCTGGTTCACCAGCGGCACCCGAATCAAGACAATAGAACCGTTTCCAAAATCCTGGGCGAATGGTGGTACGCGTTGGCGCCGGAGCAAAAGCAGGAGTATCACAATTTGGCATGTCAGGTACGTTGCTGTCAGTCGCTTTACCGTACATACACCGTCGCGACCTTCAAATTCTCCGTGTTTGTTTTTAGGTGAAAGAAGCACACTTCAAGGCGAACCCCGACTGGAAGTGGTGTAACAAGGAGCGGAAGTCGTTCGCCAAAAAGTTTTACTGTTCTGCCTTCGACCACAGCGACGTGAAAGTACCAAAAGGTAAAAGCAAATGCAACTAATGTTTGTGTCTGGAGGTGTAACAGCATATCCAAAATTTACAGGCTTCATCTCTAACGTTTACGGTGGTCGTTTCTGAAAATTGTTATTTACACGTTGCTGCGCTTACACGTTGCTGCGGAGTAAATTCGGGCATCTAAGGAATGGGTTGGAGTTAAAAGTGTAAAGTAACCCTCAGTCTAATATCGTTGCTCATATCAGAATACATCGTGGTTCGCTGCAGCTACTTTATCTCATGTTTGCAGCACAGTAATTCAGATTGTACACTTGTGCAACGGCGACCCCTTCTCCGAGTCTTCAACTTTTTCCAGCAGCCTTTTCATGCGGCCACACACTGTTCAGAAATGACAGTTGTAAACGTAGGCGTATAAGTTTGCACCCTCAGTTAACGGTTAGCACCGTAATTTCTATATTTAATGACTTACTGATCCACTTCCTTGCTTCTAATTGCATTGGAAGCATTTAGCGAACCCAATCGCAGTGTTGTCACTTTTGGGTGGGGTAAAACAACAGCTTCTTCGCCACCAGCTGCTAATATTCCTTTCTTGCCTTTGCAAGACATCTACTGCAAGTGCTTTATTATCATACAACCGTTGTTCCTCTAAATTGTCCCTAGTTGTTTTAAGAGCAAGGGAGATATGCTGTGAAGCCAGGTTTTGCGAGAGTTTTGCTCTGATTAACATGTTGCAGTGAGTGTATTCACATTTGCAAGTTGTACAAGGTATGTACAGTTCTCGACGCTGACTCAATATATATGCAATGCCTTGCTTAGTTATATATAGTTTGTAATGCATTATATTAACCTATGTTCTTATCAGAATTAAATAGATCATTTCATTCTTGAAATAATTTCATTATTGTTTCTCTAGGGAAACTATATGTGCATCTATGAATAGTTATGTTTGTGTACCTTAATAGAATAATGAATATTTTGTCAACCGATGTAAATAGTCATACTGGAAATAGAGTCCAAGGAAGTCTTCGACCTCATCAAATGAAACTTACTGCGGTTAGCAACAAATTTTCTTCAAATCGGTTCGAGATACCGACCGAAATATCACTTCGACTATATTAATTTCATAAATTAGCGTAAAGGATACCTGGTGCAAATATATGGAAGGAGACTGTTCCAGACTCCAGTTGTCTTCTGCCGAAGCTCAGACTCTGGCTCAAGATCGGGAGCGTTGGAATCTCTGTCTGACGCGTCTGCCTCTGCGACCCGAAAGGAGAAGCGGCCATGGAAGATGAAGAAGAAGATGAAGTTAGCATGACGGATTAAGTTCATTTGCTTTATGGATCACCTTATGATCATTGAGACATTACAGCAGGTCACATTTCACTGTATTAATACTGTTTTTTAGCATTTAATCATTTATGCACAGATATACCGTCATTATATTATTTTCAGGATAAGACTCATGTTTGCAGACGTGGTATTAACGATATTGTTACCGTAGTAATATCATTATTACAGTTCTACCACTAGCAGCATCAGCACTGCGAAATTTCTTGTCATTGCCGCTGACGGTAATGCTACAAAAGCAATACTACTTCTGCTGCTGCCGCTACTATTACTATTACTACCTCTTATTCTAACACTCCTATTGCTGATGGTGGCGATGTTTCTACCGTTGTAAGTTTATTGTTACAGCTCTGTTGTTAGCAGTGTCTGTACTGCTACATTACTTTTGTCTTGACCGCTGACACAACGCAACAACAATAGTCCTGCTGATCATTATGCAACAGTGATAATAATGATTTGTGGTGATCCTGCTGTTGCGTTATTATCAGGAGCAGTGATAACGGAGTAATAGTACTGATATTAGGATGGTAGCACTGTCTCTACCGCTGTTCTATTATCAAGACGGCTGTCGTTGCCACTGATAATAATGCATTAGGGACATCAGTACTAATATTATTTATTTCTTTGTACAGTGGAATACTATCCTTACTACTATTTTGAATGTTAATGCTAATACGGTTGCAATATCTTTATTATTGGCACTTGCATAGCACTCTTTTGTCACATATACCGTGAATTGTAACAATAGCTATGTCGGTATAGTACCGCAACATTCTACAGTGCATTATACTGTACCTGTATTTACTACTGTGTATTATTACATGCCGTGTTATTTTGTACTGGTATTGTCCTGTACTATGTAATACAGGAACGCAGTGAATGCTATTCTTACTGCTATCACTGGCGCTCTACCCCGCTGGTAGTAATGTTCCAGCTGTAGAGCGACCTTGCAACTTTGCTAGTGTAATAATTTCATTACTGCCATTATACTGGCAACCGAAATTGTCTGTGCTATTGCTGTAATAGTCCGTAGTAGTAATGAAAAATAATATTTTATGGGCGTCGTCCTTAACTCCGCCATGGCCGGTCCCAAGCCCGGATGAGAAAGGAGGAGGGTTGGAGACCGTGGCAAGTCTC